ATGGCCTAGCCTAGGCCCGTCCCCTCCACCCCCCGCCCCCCACCAGCCCTGGTCTAGGATGCTGGCCTAGCCTGGGCCCTTCCCCACCAGCCCCGGTCTAGGATGCTGGCCTAGCCTAAGCCCATCCCCTCCACTCCGCCCCTACCTCCCGCAGAGCAGACTGTGGACTCCCTGAGGTCTAGACCATCCTCCCCCCCGGTGGGGTAAGGCGTGTGAAGAGTAGTCACATCTCTCAGACTGGGCCCATCTTCCCTGTCAGGCATTCACTCCCTCCCACATCCAAGTCTCAGCCCGTCTTCTCCAGCCTCTGAGACCACGGTTCAGTCCCTTCCTTGCTCAGTGCCTAAATTTACCCTTCTGGTTGAAGGAGGGGTCTCACGTAGCCTCCATCACCTGAAAGGTCCCATTCAGTCTGCATAACGGTAAACATTCAAACCTCAAACCTCAGAAGAGGGGCCACACCCATGTTCCCCAGACGAAACAGACCACAGGTGTATTGAGTTATTTGTGAGGCCAAGGCCCTCCCCTCCTTTAATTGTGAAGTATTCATAGTCATAAAAAATATAATCAGACCTGGGAGAGCCCTGCCCTCTGCCCCTCTTCCTCCAATACCATTAGTAGCTTCTCCCAGGGGGAAGGCGGGAGCAGCCACCAGTCAGGAGATCTCTCTCCCCTCCACACTGCCGGTGCCAGAAAACAATGAAGGGGTGCTCCCCGCCCTGTGGGAAGGTGGTGAAGAGAAGCCCTGTATGACATTCCACTGGGAAGATGAGGGCTCTGTCTACCTGGGAGGGGGGAGGGGGCACAGAAAGGCAGGTCTCTGTCAGAACCNCCCCCGCCCTGTGGGAAGGCGGTGAAGAGAAGCCCTGTATGACATTCCACTGGGAAGACGAGGGCTCTGTCTACCTGGGAGGGGGGAGGGGGCACAGAAAGGCAGGTCTCTGTCAGAACCTTTCATGTGGCATTTAGGGTGGGCACGGATTACTGCTGACGTCAACCTGGGGGAGTGAAGATTTCAGAAATTTGGAAACGTTCCACGTCCAGTGTCAGCAATGGGATGGAAGGTGGAATCCTGGGCGGGGGGAACAGGAGATGAGGAGGGAAAGGCTGCTACCTGTGGCGGGGAGGGTATGGATTCACAGACCTAACCCAAGAGAAAAGGACACATGAGACCATCCCATTCCAAGAATCAAGATAACCCAAGGAAGGCTGGTCTGGGGCTGGTGGGAACAGTCTGGGATAAGAGATCTCCAGTGAGATACCCCCGAGAGACAGGAGTTCTCCATGGACCAAAAAAGGGGGTAGAGGAGTAGAAATGCCAAGCTGCACCATCACACGGATGGGTCTGAGGGACGGGGATATGGAGGGGGCAGGTTCAATGGGAATATCCCACCTTGGTGGAGTGGAGGATTCTTAATATCACGCACTAAGGAAAGGGAAGAAGGTGAGCAGATGCCTGGTATGAGGGAATGGGTCTGAGGAGCTGGGGGAGAAGATTCCAATATGAGGAGGGCTGAGGGGGCGGGAGGTGGAGATGACTACAGGACAGCAGCCCACTGGCCAATTCTTTACTCCCAGGGGGATGCCAGTGGAAGAAAAAGTGGAGCGTATGGCCAATCCCATAAGAAGAAACATGAGGACCAAGGGGGTGGGGGGTGGGGGAGGGAATGGGAAATGTCACACAGGACCATCGAATGCCCAAGGAGTGGTACGCTCCAGAGGGAGGTACCATGGCTGTTGGCCAACCGTCCCATGCAAGGGGGCCCAAAAGAGCATGCCGCCAGCAGGGGGCAGTGTGCAGAGGGGAGATGATGGCAGCCTCCCGGGGAAGCAGGCCTGGGCACTACTTCTCCTTTTTGTCGAGTAGCTCCTTGAGCGCTTTGACCTGGGTCTGCAGCTCATCGAGGGCCCCCAGGTGCCGGGAGACCTCCCGCTGCTGAGTCTGTAGGATTTCCACATTCAAGGTTAGGATGTTCAGCTCCTGCTGAAACGATTCCAAAACCTGGCGCTGCTCTTCTTCCTTGCGTCGCGTCTGGCTGGAGTGGCGGAAGTACTCAAGGACCAGGCAGGTGCCGCCCACCAGGAAGATGGTGGCCTCGCCCAGCAGCTCGGCCCCCAGTTCTGCCGCTGCCTCCTCATTCAGGGGTTTAATTGTGACTCCTCGGAAGCCCAGGATCCGCATCTTTGTCCGCATTTCCACCCAGTGGTACACTGCAGAGATGAGGGAGGGCTGGGGTGAGGCCAGAGCTGGGGGCCACGGCCAGAGAGGGCACTGACCACCTCCAGGAAAATGGACAGATGCCTTTCCCTCTCTGGTTTCCCCATCGGTGAAACCGAAATAGCCTCGAAGGTCCAGTTCTAAAACTGCCTGCTGGGTAATCTTGGCCAAGTCACCTCCCCTCTGAAGAAACCTCAATTTCCTCTATGGTGAAGTGGACCAGACAGATAGTTCTAAAGAGGAAGGGGGTGGGACTGGGGGATGCCTTCTGGAGAGCCTGCATGCTAAAGGTAGAAAGCAGGGGTTCTCAGCCTGCGGTCCACTGACTGTCAAGGAGAACTGGGAATAACTTCAGGGGGTTGGTTGGTGAGCTGGTGAAACTGGGAGAAATGTCTTTCAATGGCATCCGGTCCCTCTGTAATCCTGCCTACTCTGTTTTATGCATTTGAGACCTTTATTCTAGGAGAGGGCCCATAAGTTCAGCAGCCTGACTTCCAAAGGGGCCCATGACGTAAGAGAGGTCAAGAACCCCTGCCATAGGGAGTGAAGAAAAGGGTGGAAGAGGAATGGTCCAAAGAGATGCCCAAGAACTCCCAGGGCACAAAGATGCAAGAACAGAGACAGCAACAGAACTCAGCCTCAGAGGTCTCGACGCGGGGCACACAGCACAAACAGCGGGTGGTGGGAGTCTAAAAGCAAGGACAGAGAGTTGAGATAGGGACCACTGAGGCTTGCTGGGAAATGGAAAGAGTGAGGCTGCTGGCAGGGATGTTAGGAAGCCATATTCACACAAGAACACTGAAGTAATAGAGGGTGAAATGTGGTAGGAAACATTTGGGTGAAGATAAACCCAGGCAGAAATATATCATAGTCCTCTCAGGCAGAAAGAGGAAAGAGATAAGGAGTTTGGGAAAGAAGGGGGCAGCTAGGTGGCGAAGGAGATAGAGCGCCAGGCCTGGAGTCAGGAAGATCTGAGCTCAAATACAGCTTCAGACACTTACTAGCTGCGTGATCCCAAGCAAGTCACTTGACACTGTTTACCTCAGTTTCCTCATCTGTAAAAGGAAATGGCAAACCACTCCAGCATCTTTGCCAAGAAAACTGCAAATGGGGTCACAAAAACTCAGACACGACTGAAACAACTTAACAACAACAAAATGTTCATTTCAGCCTTCCCAAGTTGGAGGAATCAGGGACAGACAGGCTGATCTGAATCCAACTGTCACCAGCAAAGGAGAAATGGTTGCTTTGGTGAAAGAACAGGAATCATGGGAGACAAGAATTATTCTAACTTTGAATGTGAGGGTAGCAGGGTCCCCTCCATTGAGGCAAGTTGGGGATCACCAGATACAGATTCTAGATGTCAGGAAAAATAGCTTTGAAAGGATTTGCCCTCCTCAACTACAAAATCCCATCGGAGAAGCTGACCCAAACTACGTTTTGGAGACAGTCAATCCCCAGGAGTGAATGGTGTGACATAGCTTTCCACCACGCTGATATATACTCTTAGCTGGCATTCAGAGGGCCCAGCAGGCGCCAGGCCCTGCTGGACTACATTTCCCCATTCTGGAGGGGAACTCTTGGAGAAAGATACTGAAAAGCCAGACTGTGTCCCAAAGAAGACAGCCCTCAGATCATCCCCTATGTGGTCTAGCTGAAGGAAGTGGAAAAT